ATGTTTAAATGGTATTGTAGTTTGTAAAATTGCCTCTCTTCCACCTTGATCTTCCTTTGCTAATTGTCAGGTCTCAGTTCTGTCTTTTTGTTCTTTTTTTTTCATGCCTTTTTTTTTTTTTTTTGTGATGGGCTGGGACAGAGATTGGGGTAAAAAAAAAAAAATCAGAATCAGTTGCTCTTTTGGTTATATATTTTTTTTCTGCTCATGATTGTACAATTCTTACATCTTTTTTTTGTTCTTAGCCATGTCAATTTCACAAATGAATAAAAGAATAATTAAGAAATAAAAAAAAGCCCCCCCCTCCTGTTTATTAATAGGCTTTAAAAAAAATCTACATTTTTCATTGCCAAATTAAAAAGAAGAATAAAGACTTGGCCGAGAAAATGATATTAAGTCAACATTCCCTCTTTATTTTTGAATTTTTGTTTTTTTTCCCATTTTTTTATCTTTGCAAGATTTTCATCTCCAATATGCTCATTTGTTATTTAAAATTTTCTTCTGCCTTCACTATCAGGTTTATCTTTTACAATATTTTTTTCATTTTTCTCCCTAAATTGATTTTTATCAATTTGATTTTTTTAATTCATTTTGATTTTATTCTTAGTTTAATTTTTTGGTATTACATTTTTTTTTTTTTTTTTTTTATTTTGAACATTTTAGATTTTTTTAAATGCCATCATTTTCTTTTTTTTTCTTCTTTTTTATAATCTTTCTTTTTTGAGATTTTTTTTCTGTTTTATTTTGTTTATATTTCTTTATTTCAATTGTCTTCTCTTGATCTATATTCTTCTCTCTTAAACACTATCCTTACCATTAGACCTCAGGTAAAATCCCAAATTGTCTTGAATGTTCATTTCAGTGCAAGCCAACTGCTCTTATTTCCTTGTTTCATGCCTTCAATGCAAACCTTTGACTATGATATTATTAATATTACTTTTCTTGTTCTGAAGATTGTATTGAAGCATGAAACTGACAGTCACCATGCAGTATTGATTCCTATGCCCACACTGTTTATATCTATCTCTGGTATTGAGCACCCTTTTTCTATAAATACAGCAAATTTTAATATTTTTCTATATCTCTGAGATGAGGTATTATGATTATTTACATTATTCGGAATATTATCCTCATGTTCATTGCCATATTCATAATTTTTCGGCCATTGTACACTCCAGCCTTCTTCAGGAGATTGGAATTTTGAACTGAACCTTTTATTTCATGAAACTAGAACAGTCTAACCTGGTGGATGAAATAAAGGGTTCAGTTCAATATTCCAATCACCTGAAGAAAGCTGGAGTATACAACAGCTGAAATGTTGTGAATATGGCAATGAAGATGAGGATAACAGTTCAAATAATGCAAATAAACAAGTTTTAAATATATATATGTAATAACCAGCTACTCGTTTCTGAACATACCATCTGCTAGGGCACCTAGCTATTCCTTCTTGTTGATGCCTGTGCAGGTATATTAGTGTTTGTTCAACACTCATCTGTGATTTATACTGCAACTCATCAACAGTTTGAACAAGGCAAGTATGTCTAAACCATCAGTCTTGAGAACTTGTGGCTTCTTGCCAACGTTGATGGCTTCTGAACAGTTTTCATTCACAAGACTTGGGTCAATGCGTGTCTTGGTTCTAGAGAAACTGTGCTGCATGCGGGAATTGCCTCCCCAGGCCAATAACATCAAGAAATCACCTCCCTGATGAATCAACCATTGTTGGAAAGCAAATGTTCTAATCATGAGGCCACATGCCATATATATATATGTGGGTGGGTATATGTTGTGGGCATGTATGTAAATAAATAAATATATATATATATATATATATATATATGGTTGTATATGCTTGCATGAAATGCTTTAATTTTAGGGTTTTTCATTTTTTTTTTTTTTAATTTCCAGGTTCTTTTGCCAAATTAAGTTCTGCTTAGAAAATATCACCTTATGACAACTGCACACTCAGCGAATATCACAAACCATTTTTAGTTCAAATTTCATTTGGTTCCCTTCTATTGTCTGTCTTTTTCAGACTAAGCTCATGTGAATTTTGTTAGACAAGATGTTTTGATTATGGTATATACTAATTTTCTTAAGACATACAGGGAAGGCTGGCCAAGACATGAAAAACAATACATTCTATGTATTTTGTTGTCTTGATTAAGGTTAAAAAATGTATACAGAAGTACTTAATCATTGACCATTGACTAGCAAGCTAATCTTGCAAACCATTGCTAGTATAAAGAGTTCAGTCTTTACTCTTTTCCTTATGATTGTGGCCTTATGCCAAACAAAGCTAGGAATGGTAAATAGCTTTCAACTTCTGTCTCTCTCCCACACACACAACTTTTATTTGATCCCATGTTCATTTATGTCAAGCTTATGGACATTTTTTCAAAAACTGAGCCAAATCTGGTGCTTGTCCATTTTTCCAAGATAATTATATAGAAATATTGCCATTGAATTTCGGCATTCAAACTCTGCTTAAAACTTTTATTTTTCACCTCCTTTATTTTTTATTTTATATTTATTTCTTTCCTTCGTAAATATAAGGATGTAACTCATTCTTCTCTTTTCATATCCAATTACCTACATATTCATTGAGTTTTTCATTCCTTTTATGCACAGAACATTTATTTTATCTGCGCCAGCATTTTTAACACCTCAACTGCATTTTTCCTTGAAATGCTTCAGTCTTCATCAGAATTAATCAGAACTGCTTTTCTCCACCTTCTATACAGCCGAAAATATATTTACTCAGCTTTCTCAAGTCTGGCACAATTTCATAATAATAGAGCATTAAGCAAGGATCAAACTTGCTAATAATGTCCTGCAAGATAAACCTGCTAATCATTTCTCTATGTGCCTTATTTTGATGTCAATAGTAGGAAAAGTTTATTATAATAGCCTGTGAGAAAACTTATGCTTATTTTATATCATATGTAGTTTATATTATGTATCAGATATTGGAAGTGATATTAAGTCAAAATTGCCTCTTTATCTTTGAATTGGAAGTCTTCATACTGTTGGCTGTCTTGGGTATGATGATAAACTACATCCGCGTCCTGGGTAAGATGATAAACTACGTCCAAGAGCAAGGCCTCTGATCAGGAGGTTTTGTGGAGTGTGGAACCACCTCTTAATTGCAGATGTTCCCAGGTCCACCCTGACCTGGGGTGGTAACACCTGTTAGGGTTCCAGTTATGGGTAAATAGTTAACCTCCAAACTGGGGTCAAAACACTATGAAAGTGTAAAAATAGGTTTTAATACCAGAAATACTTTGTAAAAAACATTATTACCAGAGATAAATTTTTGAAGAAAAAAATTATTACCAGCAATAAATTTTTGAAGAAAAAAATTATTACCAGCAATAAATTTAAAAAAAAAAAAAATTATTACCAGCAATAAATTTTTGAAGAAAAAATTTAAAATATTACCAGCAATAAAAATGTTGTCGGCATTAAATAACCCATTGAGGTTGATATGCCATAAAACAAACCAAATCAAATCATACTGTTGGAAGCATGTAAATAATCAATGTGTGTCCACTTTAGATGTATAATTTTGAAGATGCACCTATGCTTCTTGTCTACCTGATCATTTAAACCATGTGTCTTTGGCTTTCACTTTTGCATTTTCTGTTGTCTGTTAAAACACTTTTTAGATATTTACATTTCTATACTTGTTCAATTTTGATGTCTAATTCATAGCTCACAATCTTGAGCTGTTTCCCTGGCTGAAAACCATACATTCTGTTTTCTTCCAATTGATGATTAGGGTTTTAAGTTGGGCTCACTTAAGAAGAAAGTCAATTTAGTTGTAATGGGCTTTCACATGTTGCCCAATTTGTTAATGGTAAACTAATTTGGTAACCCTGAGTAAAGTTTTGCACTGTTATTCTTAAGAATTTTATATTATTCTTTATTTGTTCTTGGTCATCTTTTCTGTTTGTCTTAACTCATCCTAAAAATTCATGATAGACAAAATCTACCATATTCCATTGACTACTCAAGACCTTATGGTTCGCATACAATCACCAAAGTTAAGTGACATTGAGCCTTGTCAGTACCTAGACGGATGACCACTTGGGAATACCAGATGCTCTAAGCTTGGATGTATGGGTGGTGTAATGGATAATGGCTTGGAATTGTTAATTAAAGACCTGAGTTCCAATTCCTGTTAGGTTCATTATATTCACTTATGCACAAATGTCCTTGGGAAAGGTATGAATCCATTTTCTTCCCAGCTATGTATTAATTATAATAAGACATGAATCACTAAGTCATTATTACCCCCCCACACACACACACACTAAAATAAAATCTCATGATCTAAAAATATTTTTGGGTTTTAACTAACTAGCAAAGAGTTGATAAACCATAAAAAAATGAATGAATCAATCAAGGGACAGGAGAGATTAACATAATTTTTTTTTCTCAAATAACACAATTTTTCAAAAAGACTTTATTTATATCCTTGATAGAGGAATTTAACATTTAATATCCTATGGGCCAATAGACTAGTATTGGTTAGTGAATTCTGGTGACACAGTAATCGTGCATTCTATCTCTGGGCTGAGTAATGTTGGCTCAGATGCAGGGGAACCAAGGTGAGCAATAACTGAGCAGTACTAAATCAGAACAAGATGATATATCCCTAGACATTGACAGTAGAATGAGAACAATCTACCCCTTTGGATTAAATAAAGTGTTCAGTTTAAAATTCCCTGAAAGTTACCCAGACTGACATGCACCTGATGAAGACTGGAGAGTCAATGGCTGAAACATTGGGATAATAACACATTAGGAAAATAGTCTGAGTGTAATTTATTTATTTATTGTTTTATATTTGAACAAAATTGTTTTATGCCCTCTCAAAACATTTAAAAAAAAAAGAAGAGAATGTGGTATTATTTTCCAAACTTAATAAGTATAAACCTGAAATTATCTACCACCTATATTTCATTTTTTTTTTTTTTTTTTTTTTCTTGCAGCCATGAGTCCAGCAGAGATCCAGCAGTTATGGAAAGAAGTTGCTTCCCAGTCAGGGATTGACAGTTCAGTTGATATGAAGAATCATTTAAATGGTGTTGCCTTGGCAACCAGTGTGGCCCAGGCAGCAGCTGTAGCAGCCGCCTCTGTTACCTCTGGTTCTATGAACCCCCTTCTCCAGTCCTCCTCTTACCTCACTAATGGCATTCCAGATGGCTATTTATTGTCAGGTAAATATTTGTGTCATTTTTTTTTTATTGGTTTCCATTGGTCACTTCACACCTTTTGCTAGTCTGCTGGAAAGAAGAAGAGAAAAAAAAAAGCTCTTTAATCATTTTTTTCAGATTATATAGTGGTGCTCCATAGTGAAGCCATAGAAGATGTGGAGAGTCATGATCATCTATATGCTATCAAAATGTTTATTTGCATGTAGAGTGTCTCCACTTTGAAGATTGACACAATACATTCAATTGGCCATGTGATATACTATTGGGTTGGTGCATAGGTATCAGGTGTTATTGTAGGCAAATTATTTGTTAATAAAAATTGCTGTTTTGTTTAATTTTTTTAAATAAAAAAATATTATTTTATTTTCAAGTTATAAAAATGTGTGTCAATAATCATACACACTCGAATAATCATTAAAAAATGTTATTGTTGAATTATTATGTTTCTTTTTTTGTAATAAATATTATTTAAAAAACGCCTGATAATTATGCACCAACCTAATAATTACCGGCAACTCTGCATAGCATGTACTACCTTCCCAGCTAGGATCTGGCATGCTGTGTTCATGATGGCAAACCATCCCTATTCCCTTTGTGTTTCTTTGATAAAAAGCAAGTTCCACTTAGACAACTTTTTCTCCAGAACTGTTACTTTGTGGAACCAACTCCTCAAAGAATGCTTCCCTGACTACAATTTTAGTAGGTGATACTCAGCTTTTGAGGTGATGATATGTATGTTTAGTAGATGATACTCAGCTTTAGAGATGTTGATATGTATGTTTTATGTTCTAGTTTTGTTGAAGTTATATTTTTGAATATATCGGATAGTATATGGATTAATGTCATGAAAGAGTTCTTTCATGTTTGTTGTTTGGTTGATTTTGTTTAGCGGCATATCAACACCTCTATGGGTTATTTAATGCTGAAATCTAAATATTTTGAATGCAATTGTATGCATTCAACTCTGGATAACATGCATTGCTGTTTATTTTGTTATAAATAGGTATTTTTATACTTTTGTAGTGTTATATTTTTGTATGGGAGTTAACAGGTGCTACCACCCCGGGTCAGATTGGACCTTAGAACAACAGCAATTAAGAGGTGGTTCCATGTTCCTCAGAACTTCCACTCTCCAGATCAGAGGCCTTGCTGCTGAATGTAGTTTTTCATCAGACCCAGGATTAAGCTTATTAGGTAGTTTATTTGCTGCTTTCCTCTGTCCCGTTTGCCTTCAATACGTCCTGTGAGTGTCAAAATTTCCAGGCCTTCTTTTCTCATGTGTTCCAGAAGATGAGTAAATATCCATTTTTTTTTTTATTATTTTATACTCAGTGAGTTTTGCTACCTGTTTCTGGTGGCTAATACTGAAGGTCAAGTGACAGCAAATCTTCTCACTATTTCAGCCATTTCCTGAGTGTTCTTTCAGCCTTTTTAGCTACTATTTCAAACAGTCTAATCATGAGTGGTATAATACCCATAAACTGTACATTTAATAGTCCTTTTTTGTTTCAATTCTCTAACAAGATCCTGATATTTTTTTTACTCTTTTCATTTCATGCTCTGGGCTGCCTGAATATCTATATTAATTGACAAATTTTCTTTTCTTTTTGCTTGAAAGTTCCAAAGAATTTCTTTTTCCATTGTTTAGGATAACTTCTGGCTTATGTGTTACACAATTAAATCTCAGACATTTGCACAATTCGCAGTGAATAACTGTTCCAACCCTTTCATTGTTTCTATTCTTTTTTGTTAATGTACTAGTCACATATATGATTTACAGTTTAATTTGCTGTTTAGCTGATGTCATTTTTGCTTAACCCCCTATTATTATGATTTTGCTGATATAAATTTGTTTTGATGTACACTAAGTTCTCTTATTGATTTTTTTCTTGTATTGTTTTCTTGGTAAAAGTTTTGATTTGATTTCAGATTGTGTAGTTATTTTCATGTTGATATTTATTCAGCTTATCTTCATATGACACATATATTTGTTTCTTGTTTATTTAAAACCTTGGACAACCTGACGGAAAACTTAAAAATTTTCTTCTTCTTGCTTTAAAAGATTAAAGATTTCTTTTTTTCTTTTAAATTAAAATTAACAAAAGAAAAAGCAAATATCAATTACAGCAAGAATATCATAATAACGAGGAAAGTGGACTAAATGAATAGACAAATAAAAGTGATAACCTGGTTGGGTAGTAAGTGGAAAATAGGACCACAGCCTCACCACACAAAGTGTTACTGCTGTGTAACTTTTTAGAGGAGGGGGCTCATCCAACTTGTTTTGAATTCAGACTTTTATATGGATGTCTTGCATAGCAACACACTCATTCAGAAATATTTAAACTGCCTGCTGTATACAACCATTTTATTAGATCAATAGTAAAAAATGGCCTTCAGCAAATGAAACCTGTAGGTCACAGCGAGGACCTTCCTTGTGGACTGACACTACAGAACCACAAACAAATAACTGTAAGAGAAACTGAATCACTAGAGGACAGCAGAAACTATTAAAATGGATAACACATCTAACTTGAAGAGAAAATAATATAATCATTCCACACAACTTCAAACAAAAGGTTAGGAAGGAAACTGCCAAAAATACTGGAAAGAGTGATAACACCTACTGGACTTGAGAAACCAATTTTCTTGAGAAATTGTTTTAAGAAAAAGATTTTATAAATTTCAAACAAAAGTGGCACTGGCTGCTTGATCAATGAGTGCCACATGTTTCCTTATAAGGAAATGGCTAATATTACTATTACATTTGTGGTACTACTATTAACTTTGCAATCCAGAGTTTATTCATATATTTTTTTATTAAATTCAACATTAAATGTATTTTAAATATTAACTTCTGTTTTGCCCATTTTTAATTTTATACTTTTTTTTTAGATTAAAAATATTAAAACAATAATTGAAAAATATAAATTTGGATTATTCTTTTTAGTTAAGAAAATATGATTTCTATAATATAGTTTTTACCATTATGTCCCAAATATCTTCTCATTATTTCTTTTCTTTCATATTGTAAAAGCTGTATTAAATACATAATTTTGGGAAGAAATTCAATTTTGGTTTTATGGCTTAATTTCCTGTTTGCCTTGTATAAAAATAAAAATGCCTCAAAATACAAAGTTCTTGACTTAATAAAAAAACAAAACCAAACAAAAACTTTTCCATGAAAATAAAAAATAAAAAATTCTGATGTTCAGTCATTTGGTCAGATTCTGAGAAGTGGGTCAAGCCAGGTATGTTTCAGTCACCTCTTGGTAAGATCAGTAAAAAATATAATAAAAGTAAAATAAAAATACTGGTTAAAGTTTGTTCAAATTTTTAGAATGACCGTATTTAGCCATTTACTTGGAGATTCAGTTATGTGCATGCTTTTATATATATATATATATATATATAAAAGTTTAGAGTTGTTCTAATGAGAGGAAAATGTATATTTTAAAAAAAAAAGAGAGAAACCACAAATGTTTTTGTTTATAATGTGGATTTGTTTTAGTGTGTGTCTATATTTCTGAGATGAGGTACTATGTACACTATTCAAACTATTGTCCTCATCTTTGTCACCATATTCATTACAACGTTTTGGCCATTGTATGCTCCAGCCTTCTTCAGGTAGATAGAATGTCGAACTGAACCTTTTATTTCACTCATTGGGGTAGACTGTTCTAGTTCCACGTACCATGTTTAATATATATATATATATATAGTATATAATTGGTATATACGGAATGAATTCCAATAACCAACAATTAAAAAGAGTGCTCAATACAAAAGTAGGGCAAATATAATTATATTTTTATATATATATATATATATATAATTATATATTATATAATAATAATAATAAGTATGTTATAAAATCACATACTTATGTTATAATTTTTTTATAAAAAATAATTATATATATATATGTGTGTGATGTGTATATAAATGTATAAAACAGAAAATATATAATTTTACACTATTTTTTCACGTTTTACAAGGCCCGAGAGCCACTCGAAACAGAGGTTTACAGTGTAATATAGTATTATATGTAGATATGTTGGGAAGATGAAAGTTAACTGGGAATTGAACAAATTAAGATTGTAGTGATCTGGGAAGTATCCTTTTGGCAGTCTGTTTCACAGTGCAACAGTTTGTAGGAAGAAGCTGCTTGAGCAGAACTTACATCTCACTAATGGATATGAATTGAATGAGAGTAGTTTTCTACAATGTGTGTAACCTGGTAAGTCTTAGCTGTGAAGGTTAGTATATATATATATATATATATATATATGAAATGCGTATATTTCGGCAACATATTTTCATTAAGATAGGTTTTGTTAAATTATTTAGATATTTTCTGTCTACTTATTCTCAATAGGATCTTTTCATATTTGCGGATAAGCTTTTTTGTACGGTTATTAAAAGACAAGAGGAAAAACTGTGTTGGCTCATGTTGTATTTATTTCCGAGTACTTTTGAAATAGCATAATGTCATCATCAGGGTATTGTTAATTATAGAGTAAGTATTTATGGTTGTGAACGACAAAAAGGATCCTATCGAGATTAAACAAACAGAACATATTTAAATTATTTAACAAAACCTGTCTTAACATATATACTTGACTCTCCCATCAAATTCAATGTAAGAGGGTCAAACAGATCAGTTCCTAAGAAATCGACAGCCCAACACCAGCACATGAGATTTGATTATAGTGGTGAAGGTTTTGTGCAGAACCATCCACACTTTTTGAAGGGCCTAATACTGTGTCACATGGTCCCAAAACGACCCTCTGCAGATTTTGAATTCAGAGTTGTCTTTCTCCTAGACCAATTGCCATCCAATGCTATAGAACCCAGTTTGTCCTGCTATCTATCCATAGGGGGGAGAAGAATAGGATTCATACCTTTCCCAAGGGTGTTAGCACGTAAGTGAATGTAATGGATTTGAATGGAATTCGAACTTGGCTCTCCGATTCCTCAATCCAAGCTGCTGTCCATTACTC